CCCCCCCCCCCCCCCCCCCCCTCGCCGGACGCCACCCGCCCGCCCGCCCACCCAGCCGATCTTCTCGGTCTTTGACCCGAGGTGGGCCGCGGGTTGTAAACGATGATCCGCGGGGGACATCGGGACATGCAGGGAGAGACGGGGCGGGGGGCGCAACTGCGACCCATCTTGGCGCGGCAACAGGGGACTCCTGGTGAATGGGTCGGTGTTGATACGTCCTGCAGACCGAGGGCGACCCTCTGTGGCATGCCGGTTTGCGAACATCTGTTCACACGCGCCCCGGGCCCGGCGGGCGTTGGCGAGTGTCTGCCTTTGTGCAGACGCCCGGCCCGGGGCGGGGGCCGTCTGGCAGCGGCGCGGGTGAGAGCGGCCAGGACACGCGTGTCTGATCGCCCTCCCCCCCCCCGGGGGGGGGGGACCGCTGCAGTGGCACACGCCCGGGCGCACTTGCGCGGGGAGACCCTGGGGGGGGGGTTCAGACGGGGGGGGGGGGGGGGGAGGGGCATCCCCGGGTCCCGGCGAGGGCGGGGCGCAGCCGGCCGCAGTCGCGACGGCCGGGCACGTCTTGCGCCCCGGGTGCTGCCGCTGCTTGACATACTGGACACTTCGCAGGAATTTGGGGCCCGGCGTCCCCGGAGGCCGTGCCCGTGTGTGTGTATGTGCGTGCGTGCGTGCGTGCGTGCGTGTATATGTGTGCAGGCCGGCGGTGGCGGTGTGTCGGGGGCCGAGCCGGCGGCCAAACACCGGAATTGCGCCCCGGTATTAACATGGTAGACGCTTGCCCAGCCCGGGGGCACGGGCGGATATGTGCCCAGGGGAAGGGGGGGGGGAGGGGGGGGGCAGCGTCCACTTTTGCCCGCCGCTCCCGGCGCCATCTCCTGTCAGATCTCACAAAGCTCCTCCGGACGGGGGGGGGGGGGGCCGATGGCCGCGCGGGTGCGGCCCTGACCAGTGCCGGGGCAGAACCCAGCTTGGGCAACGGCGCCCCCCCCCCCCGCCCGGCCCTCGGAGCGGGGCCGCTCTTTGGCCGAGGGCCCGCGCGCCGGCGCATGTCCCCGGGCGGCACCCGGGCACGTCTTGCCAACGCAAGGGCCAGTCAACACTGGGCGCGCCGGCGGGCCGCGGGGTCGCTGTGTTCCCCGGCCCCGCCCCCGCGCCAGCATCGGGGGTGTCTTCCGCGGGCGGGCGCCACTGGAATCCGTCCGAAAGATCCGGAGCGCCGGGAGGCGTGCGCTGGCCGGGAGGCTCCGGCCTGTCCCTGGTGGCCCAAAACGGGTGTCTTAAAATGTCCGGGCCCGGCACGGGCGGCTTGTCAGAACTGCTTTGCCCCTGGCTGCCCGGGCGCCAGCATGCCTAAAACCCACGGCATTGCAAGTGAACGCAGGCCGACCGTCCCCGGGGCCTCCCACCCCCCGGGCGCCGCAGGGGCACATCCACCGAAGTGGATGTGGTCTGGGGCTCCCCCTGGGTGCCCCCCCCCCCCCCCCGCCCGCCCGAGGAGTGGGCCCCCCACGCCGAGGGACACACCGGCTCGCGTCGGGAAACTGCCCCCGGGTCGGAGGGTGGCCAGCATGCTCTCGAGAGAGGGTGCGCGCGGGTGCCCGCCGACCTTTCCGCCTGCCCCGCCCCCCCCCCCTCCCCCCCCCCGGGGGGGAGGCGAGGGCAACCGCTTCTGGCGAGCCGGCGGTTCATGCAAAAAAGCTGGCCGCGAATAAAGCCGGCTTTTTTTTCCAGCCAACCCGGGGCCGCACCTCCGCGCTCGGGACTCGCCGCCGCACGCGTACCCGGGACCGGCGGGCTTTTTTTTCCGCCAAGGGCCCTCGTGCAAAGGCCGGGTCCGCCCCTCGCCCGCCCGGCCGCCGCCCCGACCTCCATCTGTCAGCGGGGTGTTCCGCACACTGGAGCTGACTTAGCGGGTCCCTCCGTTGGCACTGGCCCTGATCGTGGCCGGCAGTCATCGCTGGAGACACGCCGGCCGGGGCAGTTGACCGCGCCCCTCCAGCTGATTCGCCCCCCCCCCCCCCCCCGCCCGCGCGCGCCCTTCTCTTCCGTGCGGCGTGGACCGCAGCGCGGGCGAGCACCGGCGCAGGGGAGGGGGGCCCCTCGCGCGTCCGGCGCCGGCGAGCGACAGCCTCCTGCTAGCGCATGTTCCCCTCGCGCCGTCAGCCGAGCGGCGCAACCACCGCCAGCCGGAGAACCCCCCCCTCGGCCCCGCTCGGGCCCTCGGGCGCAAGCCGGTTGTGTTTCGCCCATCCACAGAGCATACTGGCGCCGGCGGGCGCGAGGGGGAGAAACTGCCGGCCGGCCAGCCAGTCTCGGGGAGGGAATATTTCCCGTCTATGAGGGGGGGGGGGGGGAGGGGCGCATACGCGAGGACGTGTATGTGCGTTGCGTCCACGCCCCCCACCGGGCTGGGGCCCTCAAAACAGGAGATTGCAGGATCGCGCTCGCTCCCCCCCCCCCCCCCCCCCCCCCCCGCTCCTCCCAGGGGGACGAAGTCACGGAGCAAAGGAGTATGTTGTGGGGGGGGCGGGTGCTCCGGTGCGCGGTCTCCCATCCCGAACAGAGGTCGATCTGGAGGGGAGGGGGACAGCTGGGGAATATACATCATCCCCATCACAGTCAGCAGGCGGGGAAGTGAGAGAGGCGGCGAAACGGAGCAGGGCCCGGAGACGACACCCTCGGTCCGCGGCCCGGCGTATGTGTATTTATGCCAACGGTGGCACCGGGTGGCCCTCATGGGCAGAGTTGGCCTGGCTCGCAGGCCGGCCCCGACACGGGGGGAGCGAGTATGCGGGCGCGTGTGGGCATATGTGCCAGCACGAGCACCCCCCACGCCCGTGGGCGTGCCTCGCATAAGGGAAAAACAAAGAGCGAGGGAGGCACGGCGGGGCAATTGGTCGTCGACATCTAGCCAGCCAAAGCTTCGGCCTGAGCATGGGCCCCGCTCGGGCGTCCCCGGGCCACACTGGCGGACCCGGGAAGGCGGGGGGAGGGGGGGGGGGGAGACTTACACCCGACTCGGGGCGATGAAGCCCCCGAACACCAGGGTCCGCTGCTGGGTCGTGCCATCGGCCCGGGCGTGGCTGATCGTCGCGCTGCCGTACAGGGGCCCAGCCTGTGACACATCGACCTGCAGGCGCAGCTCGGCTGCCTGGCGTGGATCCCCCGGCAGCTGGATGGAACCCTGGCCGGTGGAGATCTGCTCGGGAGGGGGGCAAACAGGGGTGGGGGAGGGGAAAAAAAAAGAGGGACACAAGGCATGGGTTAGCGCTCTTCCACCGGCAAGCATCACATTGGGGCCAATGGCGGGCCGGGGGGGGGGACCCTTGCAAGCCGCACCTGGCCGGTGGTCTGCACCGAAAGGGCCCCGGGGGCCTGACGCAGGACCGCATACCCCGGTGAGAGGGTCACTCGCAGGAGGACCTCGAAGGGGACAGCCGAAGCCCGGAGGCCGGATCGACCGGTGGCCACCATCGCCGCATTCGCACCCGGGCCCAGGTCTACCAACGCATAAGGGCGCTGGTCGGACAGGGCGGGGCACAGGGCCACCGGCGCCGGGGGGGCTGGCACGCCATCCCCGCCGGCATCCCCACCATCGCCATGGTCCTTGTCCGGAACAGGCTCCAGGAGAGCGGAGACCACGAGATCCGGCTGGTCGTTGTCGACACTCGGACCGGCAGCCGAGGAGTGGTGCGTCGGTCGGGCCATAGCCGACGGAGCGTCCTCTTGCCCTGGGTCAGGTGTGGAGTCTCCCTCGGGGGAGCCACCCGAGTCCTCAGCTTGCATGGACACGACTGCGTAGGTGTGCGTGTGCGTGTGCGTGTGTGCATGTGTGCGTGCATGTGCAAGCAGGGGAGGTTATGAAGGAAGAGAGGAGGGGGGGGGGGAGGGGAGACCGGGCACAAGAGAGCCAGGTGAGACATCGTGGGCGGGCAGGACAGCGTGGGCGGACAGGACAGAGTGGCGGAAGCCGCGGAAGAGAAAGCAACCCCTGAGCGCCCAGAGCAGGGGCCGGCGCCGAAGGGAACGCACCACGAATGCGCAGCAGGGACACCAGGCCGGCGCCCAGGGACCAGGAGTCCGTGTCGAAAAGCCCGAGCACCACATCGGCCGTGGTCTCGCACAGGGTGTCCGCCAAGGCCACCTCCAGGGCGAGCTCCCCGCCAGCCGGAAGGGGAAGCAGCTCCACCCGATCCAGGGCCAGGGGGACCGGCACCGGGGCCGGCTCCGGCTGGATGGCCGGCGCAGGGCCTCCAGGTCCCGGGGCCGGGCGCGTCCGATAAGACACGCGTACCGCGTCCGGCGTAAGCTCCGGCGGCAGGCCCACCAGCCCGAGGCCGAGGCGCAGCTCCGCCCGATCCGACAGGTTGCTGATGGTGAGGGTCCGCGCCGGGGCGGCAATCGCAGGGGCCGCAGGGGAGGTGACCACCGAGGATGGAGCATTCCCGACCCCGACCGGGGCCGGCATGAAGAGCGCCCTCCGTGGCGAGGTCCCGAGGGACAGGACCGTCGGCGGGCGCGCCAGCGGATCTGTCAACGTGTCAGCATATCATTGACAGCCGAGGCCAGGGCAGGGGGGCGAGGGGCGAGGGGCGGGGGGAGACGGCAAGAAAGAGCGAAGGGGGCGGGCCAAGGGCGCAGGAGGCAAAGCGGCAACCGGGGGAATGTCCATCCAAGAGGGGAGGGGGGGGGGGGCGGACTTCCGGAGCACGACCCCAAGCATCTCCTCGGAGAGGGACGCCGGAGGACGCACACAACAGGGGCAGGCCCGCGCGGAAGGGCCGCGGCGAGGTCGAGACAATGGACGCGGCCGCAGCCGCCAGGGGGGAGACCGGCCTGGGCGGGCCCCACCCCGAAGGCAGGTGGTCCTTGCACCCGGGGCAGCCGGCTTGCGGGGTATCCATGTGGTCGCAGCTGGCAAGCGACAGGAGCGAGTGGAACTCCACCGTGTCGTCCGACAGGGCGAAGAGGCGGGACTCGGTGAGGGGAC